ATTTTTTTATTATTATTATTTTTTTTTTTTGGGGGGCTGTGCTTGGTTATGTAGGAAGGGGAATAGTGAGTATATTGAGACAAGACAGGAGGGAGAGCTTCAATATCAAACAAGGAGATATATTCAGGGTAAACTCTGGCACAACAACTTACCTCATCAACAGTGACAAGAACCAGAAGCTCGTCCTGGCTAAGCTTCTCCAGCCCGTCAACACCCCAGGACAATTCCAGGTTTTGATATATTCCGGAATAAAATCGAGTAGTTTTAATTTAAAAAATTTTAAATAATAGTCAAAATTTGTAAGATATAAAGTATACACAGTTTTCAGTACTCTCCAAATGTTTTATCTCATATGCTTTTGGGCTTATGAGTTATGATTAACAGTCATTTTTCGGAGCCGGAGGAGAGAATCCCGAATCCTTCTTCAAAGCCTTCAGCAAGGAGATACTCGAAGCTGCCTTCAACGTGAGAATATCCAATCTATAATATTTTGGTGGATTATTATTATTATTATTATTATTATTATTATTATTATTATTATTATTAGCTCACTTGATGTTAAATCTAATCCACCCACTCTGTATTCAGACAAGGAGTGATAGGTTGCAGAGGATCTTCGGACAACAGAAGCAAGGTGCAATAATGAAGGCGTCGGACGAGCAAATCAGGTCCATGAGCCACCATGAAGAAGGCAGCGTGTGGCCCTTCGGCGAGGCCAAGGGCACACACACCATCAACATCTACCAGCAGCAGCCCAAACACAGAAACCAGTATGGCCAGCTCTTCGAGGTGGACCCCACCAATTACCGACAGCTCAAGGACCTCAACATTGCAGTCTCACTCGCCAACATCACTCAGGCATAACTATAACTAATTCTAAGACAATATTGCTGTAAACGAGCTCACTGACAAGTCGAGTTCGGGTCGTTGTTAACTTAAACGTGCTTATAGCTCGGACTCGATTCGTCCATCATATTAATGAGCTCGAACCAGCCGAGCTCAATCCGAGTCAAAATCGAGTCGTACTCTAGAAAAATATATAGAAAATTATCTTTTCAAGACTTAACGAGTCGAGCTCGGGCTCATTTAATTATATAGAAAATTATCTTTTCAAGACTTAACGAGTCGAGCTCGGGCTCATTTAATTTAACAGCTCGGTGATTCGAGTGGTAATAACTTGGTGATATTTGTGTATATAGGGTGCAATGACAGCTCCATATTTTCGAGTGGTAATAACTTGGTGATGTTTGTGTATAGGGTGCAATGACAGCTCCATATTACAACTCCGAGACCACGAAGATATCATTAGTGTTGGAAGGCCAAGGCTATTTTGAGATGGCGTGTCCCCACCTTGCAGAGGAGGAGAGTCGCCGCCAGCAGGGCAGCGAGCGTGAGACGAGTGAGAAGAGCACGGGCCCACGCTACCAAAAGGTCAGCGCTCGACTGAAGCGCGGCACGGTTGTGGTGGTGCCGGCTGGGCATCCATCTGTGGCCGTGGCCTCCAAAAATCAGAATCTGCTGCTCCTCTGTTTCGAAGTCAATCAAAAGAACAACGAAAAATACACTCTTGCAGGTGAACAAATTTAGATTCAACTTCTCATTATACACGCTCACAAAAATATGCATGATCTATCATGATGTTTTGTTTTAGGGAGGAATAACGTGATGAAGTACCTGGAGAAGGAGGCTAAGGAGCTGGCCTTTGGAATGCCGGCAAGGGAAGTCGAGGAAGTGTTCAATAGCCAAGAGGAGGAGTTTTTCTTCAAGGGGCCTCGACAGGAGCGCGAGGGCCGTGCAGAGGCATAAGATGAATGCATAACTACTCAGGAGCGAGTCCTAAGAAGAGGACTACATATGTGAAAATATGTTTTAAGCTTATAAGGCAGTGTAATGTACAGTGACTGGCTCGTCTGTCTTGTCCAAGTAGCGTAATAAAGAGAGTCCGATCGTTGTACCCCCGGTTTCGAATCCTGCAGAGAATGTGACTATATATGTAAATTAGGTGAAGTTCATGTTGACTTGAATAAGACAGAGCTGGTGTTTCAGCTCCTTTTCGCACATGAAATCTCCAGTTTTGCATCTTTTAAATTTTCAGCTGCACATGAAATCTCCATGTTGAGTGAGTTGAGTTTGAAGTTTCAGCAGAGTTCGTAGTTTCAGCTCCTTTTCCCACATCAAATCTCCGCATATCTTATATCGTGTGAGCCAGAGTTTGAAGTTTCAGCTCCTTTCGCACATCAAATCAAATAAATATGATAATTATACTAGGTACTTGCCTTTCCAAATAAATATGATAATTATACTAGGTACTTGCCTTTCGCACATCAAATCAAATAAATATGATAATTATACTAGGTACTTGTCACAGCGTGAAATACCAACGAATTGACTACAATATATATATTGGCCTCTGGGGGACCATACCAGGTCACGTGAACGCGATCCTCCCCTCACATGGCCATTATTACTGAGCCCAACTCCATTCCACATTTCAGTAACTTTTCCCAAGCCTCACCTTTCTCCGGATAAAGTCGGACAATTTCTCTCTTATTTATTTATTTATTTTATTTTTTCATTTAAATCGTCCTTTCTCGAATTTCTAATTTTAGCAAGACAACTGTACTTTAGATTGATCCGCCCTGCGTACCTCCTCTGTCCTGAAACCATGGCATATGCTGCCTGCCTGTAGCAATACGCGGCGAAAATGTACGCATGAGGGACACGTCATATGGACACGTGTTCACTTACATGGCACTATCTCTCACTACGTGCAACCCTTCTCATCCCTATCACTTACTCCCCGCCAACAGTATACATCAAGCAACCCAATACGCTTCATTTCCCATCAACTACACATAACACTTCCACTATATAAAAAAAAAATAACAATAATTATAATAAGAAAAACATCAATCATGAGTTTCGGAGTAAGATTTGGGTTGGCCCTCCTGGGCCTTATCCTAGCCCAAGCAGCTCTGGGCCTTGCAGACCAAGACCCACGGCCCAGCAAGAGCCCGATTGAGCGCCTGCGCGAGTGCAACTGCACCAAACCGTGTGAGAGGCAGCGCCAGTCTCTGGAGCGGCAAGACGACTGCAGGCAACGATGCCAGGAGGAGTACGAACGGCAAAAGGAGAGTGAAGAGGAGGATATCATGACACGTGGTGAAAGGGAAAAGGGAAGTAGTAATAGTCCGTACGTTTTCAAGGACCGGCACTTTACGACAGGGATGAAGACGCAGCACGGCCAGGTTCGGATCCTCCAGAGGTTCACGGACCGGTCGGATGTGCTCCGAGGGATCGAGAATTACCGGGTCACGGATCCTCAGACCTTGGTCGTGCCTAACCACTGGGACGCCCATGCTGTTCTCTTCGGTGCCAAAGGTATAATCGCTTAATTTTGCTTTGTTTTGTTTTGTTTTTTTTTTTTTTAGTTTTTATTTTATTTTTTCCTTTTCAAATAGTTAGTGTGTGTTCAAATACAAATATATATATTCCGCTCAAGTGGATTTTTTAAGTTAATCATGGTTGATTGAAAAAGTTAGTTGGAGGTTGGATTTTGATTTTACATTAAAATAAAATCATTAAAGTAAATTTAATTTAAATGTAAAAGTATAAATTAAAGTATAGTGGCATAAATTAAAGTTAAATTAGACTTTTGATTATGAATTGAATATATAAATAAACAAGATACACCTTAATTATTTATTTAAATATAAATTAAACAGACACATCTTAATTTATTTATTTTGGGCTATGCTTGGTTAATTAGGAAGGGGAAAGTGAGTTTATTGAGACAAAACGGGAGGGAGAGCTTCAATATCAAACAAGGAGATATATTCAGGATAAACTCTGGTACAACAACTTACCTCATCAACAGTGATAAAAACCAGAAGCTTATCCTGGCTAACCTTCTCCAGCCGGTCAACACCCCCCGTCAATTCCAGGTTTCAATATATTCTGTAACAAAATTGAGTAATTTAATTTAAAATTTTCAAAATAATAACCCAAACTTTTAAGTTATTAAACAGTTTTCAATACCATTTCATATGCTTTCTGCGCTTATGAACGATTAACACTTAACAATCATTTTTCGGAGCTGGAGGAGAGAATCCCGAGTCTTTCTTCAAAGCCTTCAGCAGCGAAATACTCGAAGCTGCCTTCAACGTAAGAATATCCAATGATTGCAATCTATAATATTCGGTTGGACTATCTTTTTTTCTTGGCAGGGTTGATCTAAAATCTGGTACTCCCACTCTGGATTCAGACAAGGAGTGATAGGTTGCAGAGGATATTTGGACAGCAGAAGCAAGGTGTAATAGTGAAAGGCCTCGGACGAGCAAATCAGGTCCATGAGCCATGAGAAAGGCGGCATTTGGCCCTTCGCAGGTGAGACCAAGGGCACATCCACAGTTAACATTTACCAGCAGCAGCCGAAATACAGAAGCGAGTACGGCCAGCTTCTCGAGGTGGACCCCACCAATTTCCGACAGCTCAAAGACCTCAACATTGGTGTCTTAGTCGCCAACATCACTCAGGCATGACTAATTCTAAGACAAAATTGCTGTAAATGTCTTGCCGTAGGGGTGTAAACAAGCTCATGATGCTCGAGCTTCAGCCCTTTATGAGTCTGAGTTCGCTCAGACTCGTTATCTTAACGAGCTTATTATTGAGCACGGGCTCGACTCGTCTTTCAATATTATTAACAAGTTCAACAAGCTCGAACGAACTGAACTCGAGCGTAGACAAAATCGAACTGAACAATAGAAAAATACATAAAATCACCTCTTCGAGCTTTATCGAATTGACCCGAGCTCGAGCCTTAATGAGCTCACGAGCAGCTCGTTTAATTTAACAGCTCTATGTCTCGGCCACTACTCGGATGGTAACAACATGACAGATGTTTGTGTGTAGGGTGCAATGACAGCTCCGTTATACTACTCCGAGACCACAAAGATTTCGATAGTGTTTGGAAGGCAAAGGGTATTTCGAGACGGCGTGTCCCCACCTGGCAGAGGAGGGTCGCCGCGAGCAGGGAAGCCAGCGTGAGACGAGCGAGACGAGTGCGGGCCCACGCTACCAAAAGGTCAGCGCTCCACTGAAGCGCGGCATGATTGTTGTGGTGCCAGCTGGGTATCCATTTGTGGCCGTGGCCTCTAAAAATCAGAATCTGCAGCTCCTCTGCTTCGAAATCAATCAGAAGAACAACGAAATATTCAGTCTTGCAGGTGAACAAACTTAAATTCAACTTCTCATTAATACACCCTCGCAAAAAAATATATGCATGATTTACTCAAAAAATGATCTGTTTAGGGAGGAAGAATGTGATGAAATACCTGGAGAAGGAGGCTAAGGAGCTGGCCTTTGGAATTCCGGCAAGGGAAGTCGAGGAAGTGTTCAACAGCCAGGAAGAGGAATTTTTCTTCAAGGGGCCCCGACAGGAGCGTGAAGGGCGTGCAGAGGCTTAAGAAGAATGCATAACTACTTAGGAGCCAGAGTCCCAAAGAAGAGGACTAGTCATGTGAAAATATGTGTGAAGCTTATAAGCCAGTGTAATGTACAGTGATCGACTCGTCTTGTCCAAGTAGCGTAATAAAGAGAGTCTGATCGTTGTACCCCGGTTTCGAGTCCTGCGGTAATTATATATGTGAATTAGGTGGAAGTTCTTGTTGACTTGAATAAAACAGAGCTGGTGTTTCAGTTCCTTTCCGCGCATCAAATCTCCGATTTTGCATCGTGTATCATGTACCGTGTGAGCTGCGTATGTAGTTTCAGCTCCATTTTACACGTCAAACCTCCGATTTTCATCTTATTTGAAGTTTCATCAGAGTTTGTAGTTTCAGGTCTTTTTAGCACATCGAATCTCCAATTATCATCTTATATCGTGTATCGTGTGAGCCGAGTTTGAAGTTTCAACTCCTTTTCGCACATCAAATCTCCTTGCACGCCAAATCTCCAATTCTCATGTCCATGTGAGTCGAGTTTCATCTTATATCGTCTATCGTGTGAGCCGAGTTTGAAGTTTTAACTCCTCTTCGAACACCATTTTCACCTTATATCATGTGAGTCCAGTTTGAAGTTTCAGCTCCTTTTCGCACATCGTATCTCCATTCGCACATCATATTTCCATTTTTTATCGTATGTCGTGTGAGCCGCGTTTGAAGTTTCAGCTCCTTCTCGCACATCAGTTCGCACATCATATCTCCGTTTTTCATCGTATGTCGTGTGAATCGCGCTTGAAGTTTCAGCTCCTTCTCGCACATCAAATCTCCACTTTTCATCTTATATAGTGTATTGTGTGAGCCGAGTTTGAAGTTTCGGCCTGAACGGATTCCAAAGGGAATAGGGCAATTTACACAATTTTTCCATGGACAGAGAGTGATTTAAGGTAAAATCTGCAAGAAGGTTTCTGATCATCTGGCTCAATAATCTTATGAATTTCATTCACCTGAAACCTATTACAGTAATCAAATTCAATCGCCAGCTATCAAATAATTCTGTGAATCCACATTCAGTCAAAAAGGAATCACACAATTCGAAGCAATGCGATTATTTGTAATCTGTGGACAAAATATTACAGTGAACAATGGGGATGTCGAAACACATATATACACCCAGCAGCTCTGATTTCACACACACACACACACACACACAGAGTTTAAGAAACCCTACTTGAGGATAACGATGAAGCGCAGCCGGAATGGAAGCTCGTCGCGCAATCGCGACGGCCAAGTTGCGGACAACGATGGAATTGAAGACGACGGAGAAGAGCCTCGATCGGCGATCTTCAGCATCGGGTTTCCGGTGAGAGCTGGGAGGTATAATCCGGTGAAATTGGGGGATTTTTTGGAGCGCTGTTACTACTGCAAGGACCTGATCCCTCGCAACACGGAGGTCTTTATGTACGGGTATGCTATTTTATTTTATTTTTTTTAGAATATTTTTTTTTTTCGGGGACTGTTCAAATTGTCAAACATGCCTTTTTTTTTCAATTTTATATCTCATGTTTTTCCTTTCAATTTTGGGGAGTAGCTACGGTCTGTTACGAAAACATCGCGTCAGGTTTCGTAACCGCTAGATCAATTATCCCTGACGGTTACATAATTTAACGGTTACAAACTCCGACGGAATGGTTCCGTAACGAAATTGTAGCATTTTCCTCAACTTTATATCTCAAGAAAAAAAAAAAAAAAATTAGGTGAATTTGGAATTAGATCCAAAAGTGTTAATTTTATAGAATTGGATGAAGTAAACATAAAATATAAAAATATGCGGAAAAAAACTAAAAAATATGTCTTTATAACATAAAAATAATTATACCCTTCCACAAAAGATGACCGTAAAAATTAGGGGTGGGTGAATGGGTGGAAATTTGTTTCTCTTGGCACATGTGGTTTTGCTTATGCGTCCGACATCATACTCATTCAGACCTAAACATATAAGTTTAGATCATGTCGATTCAAAACAATAAATAATAGTATTATTTTTAGATGAGACTGATTACAAACTTTGAATTGCGATTTAAGGTTTTCGAAGATGCAAATTATGATATATATAGGGCTAAATGGCTCGATTTGAAACAAAAATATATGAAAACCGACAATGACATTGTTTTAAATAGCCTGTGAAGAAAAATCATTGTAACTTTATCGTTTTTAGGCAGGACCATTTCAATCTACTTTGGTATCGAAAAAATTGTTTCTTTTGCGCGCCCCTATCTATTCCTACCTATCAAAAACTTCCCTTTCTTTTTGGCATGTTGTGTTGGGCAAGTTAAACATATGTGGTATTGCTCTATTGTATACAATGCATGAAGCATGATTATGTGATTAGCACTATTATCATGGTTTTTGCAATGTTCAATAATATTTCAAAATTTCAATACAATGCAGCATTCTTTGTGCATTCTGCACAATCCAATGCCGTGACCTTCAGATCGCCAAAGATCGTGCGGCCAGGAGAAATCCAGCACGCGTCGAGTTTACCGCAAATCAAGGCCACGAGTCTACAATGTGAGGGCTGTAATTTGTGAACATGAAAATGCATCATCACATAACATATTGTGACATTCTAAATACTAAATGCAAGAGTATGCAATAAGGTTCTCTATTTATGTGTGTGTGTGTGTGTGTGAGTGTGTGTGTGTGTGTGTGTGTGTGTGTTTGTGTGTGTGTGTGTGTGTGTGTTCTTTTGGTTAGGTAATTGCCTTAGCTTATCTTGTCAAGAAGCTTCAACTTCCCTTAACAATGAGTATCTTTCATTTAAATTGGATTTGTGTTCACTTTTGGCATTTTTGTTATTGTTTCACCAAAAATAATAATAATAATAATAATAATAATAATAATAATAATAATAATTTTGGCTCATGGACCATGGTACATTTCTTGTATCACCCATAAAAGAATATAAAAAAAAAATGAAAAAAATGAATAAATTAGACTGAGATTCCTGCCCCAAATTTGCACCATGCAGAAAGATGAAAGTGAAACAAATATAATACATGTGAAATCATAAGGTACCATATCCTAACATGGATGTACAATAGAAAAATTATTACACAACTCACCTTATTGAGTATGGCCTTGATTCTATTGCCATGAAGCCTCATACTTTGGTTAAATAACCTAAACATCACACCTGCAAACACAAAAATTATATTAGCAATATTCAACAACAACAACAATAATAATAATAATAATATCATTTAGAACATCAATTAAAGGTATGAATAATTTAAATTTACCTGCTTGTCTAGCAGAGAAGGTCACAAAATATTAGATGGAACTGAACTATGCAAATCCTTAATGGCTATATCCATATGAGTATGATGGCAGCAGCTCTTCAACTTAAACCCGAGAGCTCGAGTAACTCGGGCTTTTCTTGCTACAATTCAAACCAGTCGACTCGACTTCTGCTAAGAATAAACTGTAAACCGGCCTATGATCCGAAAACCTCGACTCACCACGAACATATGACAGTTGGTGGAGACCATATCCGTGCCACAATATACGATCACACCTTAATAAAATACAATATAAAAAAAAAAAACGTGAAGCTTGGAAAAAACATCCTTAATTTTTTCGACATTCTTAAACTTAAATAGTTAAGTTACCATGCGGGAGTTCTTCGTTTCTCTCTAGGACGCATATTCTCGCCGGCATATTTGTCTGAATTGTTCGAATATTTGTAAGTCGGAGGAAAATATATCCTTCCTTCACTCCAACCAGCGAAAACTCGACCGTGCCTTTGCTCAATTCTCAGCTGTTTTGGAAAGAACAAAATCAGAGTTGTGTAAATTGAGCAAAGTGCAAAGTTTATAAAATCCAATAAAGTGATAAACTTCATTTTCTATTTGTTTGCCTGATCATTTTCTAGTAAAGTTCTCCAATTTCGCATCTCGACGAGAGCCTTCGCGCATCGATAGGAAAGTGCGATCCTGTAGTTTAAGTCCCCGAGCCATATGATTCGGCTGGAAGCAAACACAAACCAGATTCTTTTAGGCTATGTTTGGTAAAAACTAGTTAATAAGTTAGCTGATAGCTTATAAGTGATTTTCGATCTTATAGTTTATACCTTATGACTTATACCTTATGACTTATAGCTGAAAAGTAAGCAAACACAAACCAGATTCTTTGCACTTTGCTAGCTTATATGATAAAAGTGTTCGGTAAAATTACCTGATAAGCTAGCTAAAATAAAGATTTAAACGAACTTCATTGAAAAACTACTCAAAGATGCTTATGATAAGCTCAATCTTAATAAAAAAACGTGTCGTACCAAATGAAACTAATTTGATTATACGAAGATTATAAGTTTATAAAATAAACTGTAAACTAGCTTATTTTGTTATCAAACATAGTCATAATATTTTTTTAGGTAAACATTTAGAAGAGAATGTGCTATATGTAAAATACAGAACAATTTTACATACTCATGATCAAGAATCGTGCAAGGTGAGCCCTTATCGTGAACTTGTGGGAACCTCGTTTTCTTCAGAATCTCCATCACATCCGAGTTTCTTCTGAGCTCGTCACCTTCTTTCTCACCCGACGTCAAATG